CTCTCTCTCTATCTCTTCTCTCTCTCTCTCTCTCTCTCTCTCTCTCTCTCTCCTCTCTCTCCAGATAAGCTGTTTCAGCCCAACATCTCTGTGTCCTCCTCCATGTACGGGGTCTCCGGGGCCCAGCAGCAGGGTTCCAGGTGTTCAGAGGCTCCCACTTCAGCATCAGTTGCTCCATCCAGCCTCAGTACCCAGGAGGCTCCTTCCAGCTCAACTTCACCTCCATCAAACTCAGCAAACAACTACTACTCAGAGCCAGCTGTCAATCACTTGCCCACTTCCTGTTCCCGGGGCAGAGCCCGCCCGACCAGGGAAACTACAGCTGTGTTTATCACGTCTCTGCTTTTTTTCAGGACTTCTCCTCTGAGAGCCGTCTGCTTCGTCACCGTCACAGGTGAGCTGTTAGAGTTTACTGTAGGACAGAGCGTGATGCTCCCCAGGAGACGCTGGTGAGGACTGAGTGTTTTACTGTGAGCCCTGTGAAGCCAGTCACACCCTTACATCACATGTAGCTTTCCAGAGCAAGTACAATAAGTGCAATGAACGTGAGAAGACATGAATCCAGAACAGCAATCCTCCAGTCAGCTTGTAGTTTACATTGGAGTATGCCATGAGTACTGACTGTTTAACAGATACAGCTAGCAGCTTCTCCCTACAGTCCTACTGTTGCTATGAACAGGAAAAAGGCGTTGGGGTTGACTGAAGATCTTAAGAAGATGTAGTTTATTGTAATATAACTGTAGAGAGGAGGTCTCCATGCTGAAGTGGGTTCAGGTCTCTGTGTGTTTGCTGACTCGTTGATGTGATGCTGTCCATGTGTTCTATCAGATCCAGAACCTTTTATCATCCGAGCCGTCGTCCTGCCGCTGCATTCAGCTGCTGGTTGACCGTCGGCCTTTACTTCTACTGCAAGGTAAAGAAAAATGTTGGTTGTTCACTGACTGAATGATAAGGTACTGAAACATGTTGTTGTTCCACTGACTGATGATGAGGGTACTGAAACATGTTGTTGTTCCACTGACTGAATGATGAGGTACTGTGAAACATGTGTTGTTCCACTGACTGAATGATGAGGTACTGAAACATGTTGTTCCACCACTGACTGAATGATAAGGGACTGAAACATGTTGTTGTTCCACTGACTGAATGATAAGGTACTGAAACATGTTGTTGTTCCACTGACTGAATGATAAGGGACTGAAACATGTTGTTGTTCCACTGACAGAATGATAAGGGACTGAAACATGTTGTTGTTCCACTGACTGAATGATAAGGTACTGAAACATGTTGTTGTTCCACCACTGACTGAATGATGAGGGACTGAAACATGTTGTTGTTCCACTGACTGAATGATAAGGGACTGAAACACGTTGTTGTTCCACCACTGACTGAATGATAAGGGACTGAAACACGTTGTTGTTCCACTGACTGAATGATAAGGGACTGAAACACGTTGTTGTTCCACCACTGACTGAATGATGAGGTACTGAAACATGTTGTTGTTCCACTGACTGAATGATAAGGGACTGAAACACGTTGTTGTTCCACTGACTGAATGATAAGGGACTGAAACATGTTGTTGTTCCACTGACTGAATGATAAGGTACTGAAACATGTTGTTGTTCCACCACTGACTGAATGATGAGGGACTGAAACATGTTGTTGTTCCACTGACTGAATGATAAGGGACTGAAACACGTTGTTGTTCCACTGACTGAATGATAAGGTACTGAAACATGTTGTTGTTCCACTGACTGAATGATAAGGGACTGAAACACGTTGTTGTTCCACTGACTGAATGATAAGGGACTGAAACACGTTGTTGTTCCACCACTGACTGAATGATGAGGTACTGAAACATGTTGTTGTTCCACTGACAGAATGATAAGGGACTGAAACGTGTTGTTGTTCCACTGACTGAATGATGAGGGAGACTGAAAGTGTTGTTGTTCCATGACTGAATGATAAGGGACTGAAACACGTTGTGTTCACTGACGGAATGAATGATAAGGTACTGAAACATGTTGTTGTTCCACTGACTGAATGATAAGGGACTGAAACACGTTGTTGTTCCACTGACTGAATGATAAGGGACTGAAACACGTTGTTGTTCCACCACTGACTGAATGATGAGGTACTGAAACATGTTGTTGTTCCACTGACAGAATGATAAGGGACTGAAACATGTTGTTGTTCCACTGACTGAATGATAAGGGACTGAAAAACGTTGTTGTTCCACCACTGACTGAATGATAAGGGACTGAAACACGTTGTTGTTCCACTGACTGAATGATAAGGGACTGAAACACGTTGTTGTTCCACCACTGACTGAATGATAAGGTACTGAAACATGTTGTTGTTCCACTGACTGAATGATAAGGGACTGAAACATGTTGTTGTTCCACCACTGACTGAATGATGAGGGACTGAAACATGTTGTTGTTCCACTGACTGAATGATGAGGGACTGAAACATGTTGTTGTTCCACTGACTGAATGAAAAGGTACTAAACATGTTGTTGTTCCACTGACTGAATGATGAGGTACTGAAACATGTTGTTGTTCCACTGACTGAATGATGAGGGACTGAAACATGTTGTTGTTCCACTGACTGAATGAAAAGGTACTAAAACATGTTGTTGTTCCACTGACTGAATGATGAGGGACTGAAACATGTTGTTGTTCCACTGACTGAATGATGAGGTACTGAAACATGTTGTTGTTCCACTGACTGAATGATGAGGCACTGAAACATGTTGTTGTTCCACCACTGACTGAATGATAAGGTACTGAAACATGTTGTTGTTCCACCACTGACTGAATGATAAGGTACTGAAACATGTTGTTCCACCACTGACTGAATGATGAGGTACTGAAACATGTTGTTGTTCCACTGACTGAATGAAAAGGTACTAAAACATGTTGTTGTTCCACTGACTGAATGATGAGGGACTGAAACATGTTGTTGTTCCACTGACTGAATGATAAGGTACTGAAACATGTTGTTGTTCCACTGACTGAATGATGAGGTACTGAAACATGTTGTTGTTCCACTGACTGAATGATGAGGTACTGAAACATGTTGTTGTTCCACTGACTGAATGATGAGGTACTGAAACATGTTGTTCCACCACTGACTGAATGATAAGGGACTGAAACATGTTGTTGTTCCACCACTGACTGAATGATAAGGGACTGAAACATGTTGTTGTTCCACCACTGACTGAATGATAAGGTACTGAAACATGTTGTTGTTCCACCACTGACTGAATGATAAGGTACTGAAACATGTTGTTGTTCCACCACTGACTGAATGATAAGGTACTGAAACATGTTGTTGTTCCACCACTGACTGAATGATAAGGTACTGAAACATGTTGTTCCACCACTGACTGAATGATGAGGTACTGAAACATGTTGTTGTTCCACTGACTGAATGAAAAGGTACTAAAACATGTTGTTGTTCCACTGACTGAATGATGAGGGACTGAAACATGTTGTTGTTCCACTGACTGAATGATAAGGTACTGAAACATGTTGTTGTTCCACTGACTGAATGATGAGGTACTGAAACATGTTGTTGTTCCACTGACTGAATGATGAGGTACTGAAACATGTTGTTGTTCCACTGACTGAATGAAAAGGTACTAAAACATGTTGTTGTTCCACTGACTGAATGATGAGGGACTGAAACATGTTGTTGTTCCACTGACTGAATGAAAAGGTACTAAAACATGTTGTTGTTCCACTGACTGAATGATGAGGGACTGAAACATGTTGTTGTTCCACTGACTGAATGATGAGGGACTGAAACGTGTTGTTGTTCCACTGACTGAATGATAAGGTACTGAAACATGTTGTTGTTCCACTGACTGAATGATAAGGGACTGAAACGTGTTGTTGTTCCACTGACTGAATGATGAGGGACTGAAACGTGTTGTTGTTCCACTGACTGAATGATAAGGTACTGAAACATGTTGTTGTTCCACTGACTGAATGATAAGGTACTGAAACATGTTGTTGTTCCACTGACTGAATGATAAGGTACTGAAACATGTTGTTGTTCCACTGACTGAATGATAAGGTACTGAAACATGTTGTTGTTCCACTGACTGAATGATAAGGTACTGAAACATGTTGTTGTTCCACTGACTGAATGATAAGGTACTGAAACATGTTGTTGTTCCACTGACTGAATGAAACAGTGTGTGTTATGGAACAGGAGTGATGCAGGAAGTCTCACTGTGTGCTGTCATGTCTCTCCAGGCCACCAGGGGGCGGAGGCCGAGCCGACAGGAGGACATTGAGCTGGATTATGATGACCTGGGTGTTCCTGCTGAAGAGGAAGGAGCTCAGGGAGCAGAGTAGCAGCTCCAAGGAGCTCCTCTCACACACATGGGTTTACCAGCTCTTATAGCTTTTGACCAACGTTAGAAAATATAGCTTTCACTCTGAAAGTCACCAGCAATGTGTGAGTGCCTCATGTTTCCTGACCTCCTGTCAGCTCCAAGCCCATTGGTTCCCACTGAAGATGAAGATCTTTAAAAAACATCACAAGTTAGTTTTATTTAGAAAAGTCAATGCAGTCGGTGCAGTTTGAAACCACAGACACACCAACCCAGGCCGCTCAGGAACTAAGTTGGCCAATGAATGCCATATATTAATGTTCAAATATCCTCTAAAAACAGTGTTACAATACCCAGTGTTTGAATCTAATGTAGTGATTCCTGAGATAACAGGAGGAACGCGTTACAGCGCCACCTAGTGTTGGATTTGTAGACCTCGAGCACAACAACGTTTTTTTATCAACAAATAAGAAAAAGTACAGTTTACAAAATGTTACGTTTTTCACAATAATTCATCTGATCAGCGAGATGGGATATTTGATCCCCTTGTGGGTCACATGGGTCATTTTAGCAGAAGGACCAGATTTAGCTGAACAATATACAAATAGGAATTGAACAAAAGTAAATAGTCCAAACACTTCTTATTTCATAACAATGCTGATTTTATATTGAAAAATGTTATTTCAGAAGAATTCAGCTTGATTTTGGTCTGAAGAGATTGTTTGTAAAAAAAGAGAAATCCGAACTTTTTTTTAGAGAAATCCGATTATATTTGTAAATTGCCAAAATGTATAAGATTTTAACTTTTCTTTCATTTTCTTATTTCACGTGTACTGAGCTCAGTTTTGTAATCATTTTCAATCATTCAGTATTTTTCTTACTTTATATGTATTTGTCTGTATTTCGTAGTAATTTAGCTGTTTTTAAGAACTCCACCTGTTGGAGAGCATTCCCAAATTCATAAGATATTAAATACTAACATGTTGTAATTAAAAATGTACAGCATTTTGTAGAAGTTTCCTTTTTAAAAGGTAATGTGCTTTGTTATGTGATCAATAAATGTGCTTGTTTTTGTATTATTGAGGATTGTACTTATTTCACAAGATGATCAATAATATGTAATCATTACTTTTTGGACTTTTATGAAACATTTGAATTTCTTTAGAATTTCACTTTTTTCAAAGAACTCAGATTATTTTTGTGATTTAGGATTTTCCCAAATTCAGGAGACTAATTATTTCGTACTTAAAATGTTAACATTGTCCGTAAACAAGTGTTGTGATTTTGGAACCGAGAAATGTTTTTGCTTCATAAGAATTTTGATTGATTTTGATTTTGTTGAGACTCGTTTTGTTGAAAAATATTGACCATTATTTCGTAATTTTCTTGATTTTGTTATGAAGAATGTTGCTTTTTTTAACACATTTTTTTGTTGAAGATTTTTCTTGATTTCTTGATGATTTTTGCATCACAAATTCTACTTGAAAAAATTAAGAGTTTGACCAATTTGGTTTCCATGAGATTACGATGAAGCAAATCGTCTTAAATTCTGAACACAGCAGAATCCTCCAGAAATCATGACGATGTTCAACATCACTGTAATAAATGCTGTCATTTGCTATGTACCAAAAAAATAATAAAACTTCTTTGATAATCCATGAAACTCTGAGAGTGAGCTGATTTCAAAAGTGTTTCTCCTGGTTGGGAAATGACGTGTTTGCTTTGTTTCTGTGTTATAACTAAACCTCAAGGCTTTAGTTATAACAGGTTAGTATTGAAGTAATCTCTGTGTCAAACAAACGTTTATGATTCTTACACGTTTAGTTCAGCAGAATAATCTCCACATATTAACACCACTTTAGGATTTCTGAAGTAAAAAGCTAATGTTGGGCTATACAGGAACTACAGCTCGGTCACATGACTTCACGTCACCACCGCTAAGCTAAAGGTGGCTAATGTTGGGCTATAAAGGAACTACAGCACGGTCACATGACTTCACGTCACCACCGCTAAGCTAAAGGTGGCTAATGTTGGGCTATAAAGGAACTACAGCACGGTCACATGACTTCACGTCACCACCGTTAAGCTAAAGGTGGCTAAAGTTGGGCTATAAAGGCAACCTGGTCTCACCAGAATACGTGAAATGACCACGACTCCTTAACACCGCATTACGTGGTGGAGTCACGGACTCTGCTACATTTATGTGTCTGCATCACGGAAACAACCCCAATGTAAAGTGAATGAGGCTCCTTTGTCGTGGTGGACACACACATTTCTACAACATCCTTGAGCTTTCTACTCTATAAAACGTTTTAAAATCTACTTTATAGCCTGTAGTAACTCACGGGAGGCTTCTTTTATTTTATTATGTTTCATAATAATTCTTATTTTTCGTCAGAATGTATTATGGTGCATTAGTTACGAACTTATGTTCTCTAAAAACAGTGCAGTGTTTGTAATACAACTGTGATGTTTATGAAATTAGTTTTTAAGGAAGGCCAGAGCTTCAGCTGTGTCAAATAGATTGTTCCCTTTAGTTTACGTTATTTAAAAGACAATTATATTCCTATTTGATCATGTCCCCCTTATTGTAGGCTAATATTAGTCATTTAAAAATAAATAATGATGATAATGATGGTGAAAACCACTCCCCCCACATCGGAATGACGATGGTTACTGACTGTATTTCAAATGCTTTGTATTATAACAACAATGAACCAGAAGAAGATTCCGTCGTTACCACGGCAACGTTACGTCGCACTTGACGGCAATGTGACGTCACGTACGCTTCTTACCCACAATCACCTCACTTTCATTAATTTGATCTGACACCGGACTACAGTAAGTCTCTCAACCCAAGGGGAGTTTATTTCTTTAAAACACTAATAATGTTGCTTTTATTTCTTCCACTGTAGCACAGTCTCTATATCGTTTCATTCCTGGATATTAGGTTGAGTTTTGTAGTGTGTTTAGCTTTTACATACGCGCAAGCTAGCGGCCACGTCCAGCTAGCGGCCTCCGGCCTTCCGGTCAAAGTTTTTAGCTGGATAGCATTTATAGTTTATACAGCTACATGACATTAGCTGTCCCCGGCACAGTTGGATAGTGAAACAAATCTGTTTTAATGCATGTATTTGCCCATGTGTTGTGAAGACAGTCTTCAACACAGAGTTGTAATAGTGGCTAAAGCGCATCGGCGATGGAGTGGAATAAAAATGTGGAACTGGAGTTTTTCCAGAGGATTTGACTGGCCAGTGGGGACCACCCAATGTCCCCCTCTGAATCAGAAATACCAACACACTCTCACTCTATAAACGTCCAGGAGCGATGCTTGGTCAGGGTCCCGTGGCGTGCAGTTGGGACGCTCCTAGGCTCCTTCAGCTTCATAAACAGACGCAAATAGCTTTCAACTGATTGCAATGTATTCCCATCTGCGGCGGGATTTGACGCTCATGGAAGCACGGCATTCGTTTGTGTCGGAGGCTGTTAAAGGCAGCGTCCATTCCCATTGGATAACGGAGAATTGTACACCCGGAAGTAAGTATTCCCCTTACTGTCGATTGATTTGACAGTGATATCTCCACTACTCATCAACTCAAAAACACCAGATTATCTTGTTAATTAAACGACATTGATAGGTTTTAGTGTGTGTACAATGCTTTTGTCACGTTTTCCCCTTCAATTCTGAGAAACAAGTCGTTTTCTATGAGTTTTGGATGGCCGAAGACATTACCCACAATCCTCTGTAGCAACCATAGACTGTATAACAAAATTAAATAATACATTATTCCGAGTGTGCTTGCTTTTCTCTTTGAAAGTCATCACATAACGGCATTGTAATACACGTTTCGGCTGCATTAAATATGACATATCTGCCGTAGTTAACTCTATGTATAGAGCCCTGATGAGAAGACTTCTAGACAAACAGGAACTGCCGCCAAAACTGAAAACTTGACGTGGATCTTAAATATATAAGCAATTAAACAACATCTTACATTTCTTTTCACACAATACGTCTCCTTGCAGTATCAACACTAATTCGGCTGACTTTTATATTTGATCCAATTGGTAGATAGGCTGTATTTACGCCATAACGGTGCACAGCTGATAGAAAGGGACACCTACTGGTTAAAGCACGTTATTGCATTTTATAATTTTATTATTTATGTTTGGCTGCTACCTGCACCATCCATTTATTCAGCTCACGTGACAAAATGAGACATGAGTGAGGGTGGGGCTGTGATTCGGCTATACACCGCCGCCGCGTAGTAATAAAGTTGAGCGCATACATAGTGAGACCTACAGTACAGAGACGGTTTAGAAAATATTAATTTGACCCTATAGAAAAGCTGTGTTATTTATGGTGAAGAGTGAGTGTCATTTAAAACAATGTATGATGAGTGAGGTTGTGCCCGGAAAAGACAAGATACAAAAAATAAATACTTTTTTTTTTTTTTTTTATCTTGTCACTGAGGGCCCTCTTTGCTCAAGGGCCCCTGGGCACTTGCCCAGGTTGCCCATATGGTTAATCCGGCCTTGGTAAAAGTAGAAGTACTCAGGTCTTGTACTTGAGTAAAAGTAGAAGTACTCAGGTCTTGTACTTGAGTAAAAGTAGAAGTACTCAGGTCTTGTACTTGAGTAAAAGTAGAAGTACTCAGATCTTGTACTTGAGTCAAAGTAGAAGTAGCGACAGTAAAAGTAGTCATTGTGCAGATTGGTCCATTTCAGAATAATATATATATGTTTTATAATGATTGATCATGAAAGTGTTCTCAAAGCTGGTAAAGGTGCAGCTAGTTTGAATGACTTTGTATACTGCAGGGTAGCTTGTGAATTTACTCCAGGTGGAACTAAAGTCTGATTAACACTTGATTATATTTCACATCATTCATCCACATCTGTGAAGTAACTAAAGGTATTAAATACATGTAGTGGAGTATAAGTACACCATGTACCTCTGAACTGTAGTGGAGTAGAAGTACACCATGTACCTCTGAACTGTAGTGGAGTAGAAGTACACCATGTACGGTACATGGTGTACTTCTACTCCACTACAGTTCAGAGGTACATGGTGTACTTCTACTCCACTACAGTTCAGAGGTACATGGTGTACTTTTACTCCACTACAGTTCAGAGGTACATGGTGTACTTCAACTCCACTACAGTTCAGAGGTACATGATGTACCTCTGAACTGCAGTGGAGTTGAAGTACACCATGTACCTCTGAACTGTAGTGGAGTAGAAGTACACCATGTACCTCTGAACTGTAGTGGAGTAGAAGTACACCATGTACCTCTGAACTGTAGTGGAGTAGAAGTACACCATGTACCTCTGAACTGTAGTGGAGTTGAAGTACACCATGTACCTCTGAACTGTAGTGGAGTAGAAGTACACCATGTACCTCTGAACTGTAGTGGAGTAGAAGTACACCATGTACCTCTGAACTGTAGTGGAGTTGAAGTACACCATGTACCTCTGAACTGTAGTGGTAGTGGAGTAGAAGTACACCATGTACCTCTGAACTGTAGTGGAGTATAAGTACACCATGTACCTCTGAACTGTAGTGGAGTTGAAGTCCAAAGTAGCATAACATGGAAATACTCAAGTAAAGCAGCACCTCTTTTCACCCTCTGTCTGAAACCAGAGCCCAGTCTGCTCTGATTGGTTAGCTGGCCGGCTCCGTTGTGATTGGTCAAAACGCTTACACATGTCACGCCCCTTAGCCTATCATGTACAATGTGTTGGAGCGCTAGCCAATAGGAGCGTGAGGGTATATGTGAAACAATTATCTTTCTAGAAAAAGTGTATTTCTTTCATGTATTTAATTTAAAAAAAAAGAACTTATTTAGTACATCTGGTTGATAACTTTGATGTTTTTTTAAAAATATATATATATATAAACACAAGTTAAAGCATCCAAAGTAATAAAGCAAATATAGAAAGTCAACAACAACAAGTAAACAGAAGTAATATTTTATTCAGCTCAAACAGAAAAATATTAGAGATCTTCTTATTGAAATGCTCACAGCTTAAAATACACATGAGCATCTTAAATAAACAAAATAAATAAAAAGACACTCCTTGGAAGTTTCCTGGAAAGAATATAGACCTGTCAGTGCACTGCAAACATATATTATATGGCAAATATAATAAATTAAAGACCATTTTTATAGTATTTCTTATATAGAAATTCACATTTTTACAAACATATTACATATCTCTTTCCAGGAAACTGTCAAGGAAATAATTAAGCCCTTAAAACAAATGTTCATGGGTCTATTTCTCTGAATAATCTCTCAAATATTTACAAAAATACTCCTAAAAAAAG